TTTGATTAATTTTGCGTGAAAATGGCTTCAAGTAGTGGGGCTGGGTCCCCTGATTTGAGCAGCATCAGCAAAAAAGAAACTCATCTTTATCTGGAATTAACTACAAATTCAATTAGAATAAAAATCTCCGCCAACCTCGTGGAAAAGATTTTACACAAGGAAAACCAGATGTTTCTACGACATTGAGAGTACTTTGCCTAGCAGTCTGAAGAATTTTCCATCTTGTAAGCCCCATCACCGGTGAAAGTTACGCAGATCCAGCTTCCCTCCTTCACTAAACAGCTTCCATTTCCCGTGCTCCTTTAATTAGATTTACTTTTTTAACCGAAGTACGATAGGGATGAAAGAATGGGGAGGAGGAGGGGAAGGACTCTACTTAATATTAGGTTAGCAAGCTTAGAGAAGTTTGAAGGGTGTAGGGGTATATTGAGGGGTTCGTTCACAGAGGAAGCTTTTCTTACTTATTGTGAGTTTATTCCATTGGGGAAAAAGTAATAAAAGTAATCACTTGAGGATGTGCTAAGATCATGCCCTAGTTCTATTTCAGCTTTGAAGGAACTCTAGGACAGTGGTGCATAAGCAGAAGACAAAAGAGATTGAGAACGGAACAGACATCATGTGGCATTTTTTCACAGGGGGACAATTAATGTGTGACATGGCCCAGGAGGCAGGGTGGTAGAGAAGCCAGCTTCACTGGTGCCTCACGTGGGACTCCTAGCACCTAGGGGCCCGGGATGGTTCAGGCGACCTCTGCTTGGTTTCTGGAGATGTCTTAAGTTTGTATATTTTAAGCCTGCTTTAAGTTGTATTTGTTGAACTAGAATAGAGAGAGAGCGCCTAAGACACATAGGTAAGCCTTTGAGAGAGAGAAGCAGTGAGTTATAAAGGCTGAAATACAGTGACCACTCTTTTGTAGCTATGTTCGTCCCTGAAACAAACCCGTCTGTGGCTCAGTTTCCACTTCTTTCCATGCCGCGCTGTCCAAATGTGTCACATCTTTTGTTTGAATCTTTCTCATGGTTACAAGAGTCTCCTAAAAGGTGTTTCTTGTCCTGCTAACACTATTGTTGAGCTGATTCATTCTCAGAACTTCAGCACAAATGAGTTCCCTAAAAGACAAATCCGGCTGTGGCAGACTTTTGTTTAAAATGGTTAAGGTTCTCTATCTTAGGAAAATTATCCTGGCTCTTTATTTTTTATAAGTCTCCCCTCTCTTTCCCAGATCATTTCCTATTTCCACTTGTCATTGTCCATTCATGTCATTTTAAAATTCACTAACTTAGTGCCTCCTGTGTGTCTCTAGGCACTGGTATAAGAACTGGGGGTAGAACACTAAACAGACCAGGGAGGTGAAATCTCTGACCCCGTGGGCTGATGACGCTCTATTGGGGAAGAGGCCTATAAGCACATAAGCCAACAGGTACATGTGCGACCTCTGAAGACACATAACGAAGTGAAAGAAGGCAAGAAGCGATGCTTAGGCCGGGCTGTCAGAGGTCTTCCTACACAGGCAGCACAGGAGGTGACGAAAGCAGCCAGCAGCAGAGAGAGGATGGTACCATCCTTAGATCATGCAGAACTTTTGGGGTTGAGGGTCAGCCATGTACACTTTTAAATAACAGTGTAGGTTATGCTAATGTTGAGCTAAGAAATGTGGTTTCAGACCAAGGTAAAGGCATTTGCTTTAACCCGAGTGAGATAGAATGTCACTGAGTACAGACGTGGCATGAAGTTACTTACGCATTCCGTCTCCCTGTAGTTTCCGAGTGGAGAAAATGTTGTGGAGGGCGAGCGTGAAGGCAGGAAGCTCAGCGAGAGGCTGCTGCACTTGACCTGAGGGACGGTAAGGTCGAACTGGGCTAGAAGGGTTGTACTGGGTTTGGTGATGAACTGTATTCACAACCGAGTTATGTATTGAAGGTGGAACCCACCAAATAGCATCATCATTAAGCATAATATTCCTGGTCCCAGAAAAGCCAGGCCCACATTTTAAAATCAAATTTGGTCAGAACAGTTCCTGCCATACCTCCCCACGGGAGTGGGTTGCACGCCTGGCCCCTGTGGGCTTACGAGTCCTCCACCTTCTCCAGGTACGCCGAAGGCTCCCCAGTGAATTGCTGTCCTTCTCTTTCCATGGCACCTTCGCATCTCTACTGGATCATGGACCACATTCCCATTACTGTTACTTTCATGAGTGTCCTTCCAGATTCTATTTGACTCATCTTCACATCCACAGGGTTTATGAGTAATAAAATAAGATAATGAATGAATAAATGAGCAAATAAATACATAAGGGGTTTTCAGAAATGTCGTCACATGGCAGAAATCAGAATCAGAAAAAACAATCTGTGCAATGTATGGAGTACCCATTTCTTGGTTAATTAAATATTTCCTAAGCACCCTACGTTGACATAGCTCTGTGTTCTCAGCAGATTACTAACAGGGCCTCACTCGGAAAAGGGTGATAGTACGTGAAATGTAACAAAAACCATCAACGTCATCACTGCAAACTCTCTAGTCCTCAGTCTCAATATTGGGGGCAGGGGATGCAATAAAAAGAAAAGGACCCAATGCCATGGCTGGATTCTCCCCCAGAAAGAAGGTGGTGCAAAGGGAGAGCAGCATAGCGGAGGGGCTGTGCGTCGGTGGTGACCTGGCCTGCCGGGCCATGGAGACTGCAGGGGAAGGAGCATGAGGCCAGGATGGAGGGCTGGTTCAGAGTGTGTAGGGGAAGCGAAGCAAGAGGGTCCCCATAGTTTCAGAGTGTGACGGGGTCACAGATAAGAGTCACTGCAGGCGCTGGATGTAGAAACTCTTGGGTGCCCAAGAAAGACATGGTACAAGATGTGGATTTCTCCTTAGCAGTGCTTCTTTAAGTGCCTCACATGCTACCAAATAGACATAAAGCAAGGGACACAGTTAACTTTGCTTGTAGACTGGCATACAGCTTGACTCCACCAAGTGTTGATGTTTTGGTCGTACCTGAAGATTAGGAAGCACTTTCATAGTTACCATTCCAATTTCATTTCATCCTGACTACAGCTCGTGAAGTAAATAGGCAGGTGTTTTTATTCCCACCCAACTGACAGGGGAGTGGGCTGAGAATGGCTGACTATGTTTGTCCAAGGTTACATGAGATTCAAGTGTCAGAGTCAGTATTTTATTCACTTTAAGTCCAGCATAATAGAGCTGTTGGGTTGTAAGTCATGCAGGACATTTAGTTAAGTGAAACTTTTAATTTTGAGATTATTTGAGATTTACATGCCGTTGGAAGAAATCATGTGGATTAATACTTTACCCATTTCCCTCCAAAGCTAACATCTTGTGAAACATTAGTGCATGATAATGAACAGGATACTGACATTGATACTCAGTCAAGATAAGGAATATTTCTATCATCATAAGGATCCTTCATATTTCTCTTCTATAGCCACACCCACTTCCCTCCCACCCTTACCTCCTCCTTGACCCCTGATTTGTTCCCATCTCTACAACGTTGCCATTTCAATAACGTTCCAGAAATGGAGTCGTACAGTTTGTAACGTTTTGAAATTGACTTTTGTCACTCACCGTAATTCTCTGGAGAGACTTAAAATCCAATCTGTTTTGTCGCTGCTGCTATTTATTTTCCCAAAGATTTAATGCTTCTCCCCAACGCTGCGTGGCAAAATGACCCAACGCGAATTTAATGCGGAATGTTTCAGACTGTGGCCAAACAACTGGGCGATAGCAAAAAGGTCATTTAAGCAATGGGTTGCTTTGTCATGATGGCATGAATGAATTATTTTAAATGATTTTCCACACTAAATTTTCCAGATGCTTTGGCCAGGGGCCAAGGTAATTAATATTGCTAATCCACGGGCTAGAATTAAGTTGGCAAGTTAATTCACAGAACTGAGAATCGGAACTCAATGCCGGGTTGTTGGTAAGCCATGCACACTATGTTGAAGTGAAGTGAGCTTGTCTCATCGCTGACCCAGACCCCAAACTTGTTGGAGGTGCTTGAGATGATTACTCATTTTACATCATCAGGAAGTCACTCTAAAGAGCAAAGATGCCATGGTTCTCATGTAACTTCTCTTCCCTAGAGAAATCTCTCTAGAACCATGACAAATTTGAAGTTTAATACTTTCATCCTTTATAAGTTTCAGTGAAAGACTGTATAGGACGGATGCCCATTCTGAGAGGAAAAGACAAACATATCTGTCTATATTTCCTTCTCGAAAAGTAAAGCTAGATGCACAGATTCTGCCAAAACATGAAACATATTCATCTCTTCGACTCCCAAGAAGTTACCCAAATTATCGGTGTTTGTGTTGCTTTTGTCTCTAAATATAATAATGCTGCATGATATGCTTTGACTTTAGGTGCACAGGTCCCCTGCATATGTTGTCTGAGTTTATCTCAGACTAGAAAATAGGCAATTCCCTGCCCACCTACAGCACACGGGAAAAGTTTACACTTCAAAAGCAAGCAACCAAAGTGGCGTTAGAAACTGGCCTTTTGGACACAGTTAGGGGGACCGCCACCCCAGACTCAGTTCCCCTTTCTCCGACCCATGGACAAGAGGGCATTACCATTTTTGCTGACGTCAGTGACCTGCTATCACTGATTGATTTCCTGTTTTGGTTTTCAGAGGAATAGACCGGTAAGGTAATTAATTATATATATCAGAACGTGGGAATTGACCTGGCAATAATGTACAGGCCAAGCACGCTCTGTGTACATATGTAGGTTATTTAAAAATGCGTCTTGTTAAATAAATATTTAAAATACCTCCTTATTTAGCCTGTACACTGTTTGGGCTGAGGCTGCCATGCGACTCATTGCGGAATCAGAAGAGCCAGAGTTGTTACAGGTTCCCATCTTCATCTGACCTGCAAAACAGTATTTCTGTGGATAGCATGGCAGGCAGAAAACTTTCCTTAAAGAAAACAACGACATAACCTGTGTTGCCGGTGAAATATATCATGTTAGTACAGAGACGATCCTCAGAAAAATCAGAAAACATACTTTTATCTTGAGAGCATGCATGTGGAACAAGGCATCTAGGCATAAATTAACCACCAGCAGCATGAACCCCTGGCAGAGAGGAGCGCAGTAAACAGGAAGTAGGGGAAACAAATGAGTACACGGTGGAATGTTCCTCTCTTCGGGGGCCCTTTTCCCTGTGTGAGTGTCCAGAATGCTTTTTAAAGGTGAATACAGTAAGATACAGAACTTGGAGTTTTCCATGTCTCTCCTATGCACACAGATCCACAATTTCAAAACAGCCGTGATCATGAGAACCCACGCGGCAAGGAGAGTGTGGCAAGACTGGCCTCTGTGCTTTGCGGGACGGCGATGCGCAAAATCATCCAGGGGCTGGGCTAGGGGTTCAACTTATTTCTGGTGCTCAGAGGGTTAGCTTTTTTCCTGGAGGGTCCATTTGTCTGCCTGAAGCCGCCCAGTTTCCTCCCCAGCAGGAGCCTGTATGTTCCCCCAGAACAGACATATCAATCCCTGGTCCACCAGGGGGAGCAGTTCACCAGCACAAAATACTCCTTCTCCAAGGAAGTCACTGAAGGCGCCTCTTCCTCTCCTTGTGCACAGCTGACTGACAGGGACCCTGATTTTCACGAGCTCTAGGAGGTGTGGCACCCACATACCTAGTACTGATTTCATACGCCTCACCTCGTGCTGGCAGGACGTGTGCTGTTCAGTCCTGGACACACATATTTACACACACGGCAGGTTTTGCAGTGGGACTTGGAAATCACTCATTGTAATTTAGAGAAATGCCTTGTTTTAGTATAAGAAATAATGTAGTTCTTGCTTCTACACCAGCCCTTACATACAAAACCAATGAATTTATCAAACCACTTATTCCATACGTGTGCTGGTGCAGGGATCAAAGTGCAAACCTGCTCTCTAATCTGGTGTGTGGGCGTGAGACTCCCCCAGGTCTTGAGCCAGGCAGCTATAGAGCTTGCTGATACCCCCACTTCTTCCTCCAGCAAGCCCTATCCCTGTCCTCTGGCCAGAGTCCTGGGGCCGGGAAGGAAAACAGCTGTCAGGGAAAGGCTCGTGTTGATGATAAGCCCTTTGTGTGCAAGCTCAGACTTCACCACCAGCCTGTCCAAACAAAACAGCTGTGGACTTCAGCGGTTCTGCATGTGGGTAGAGAGCGCCAAGCCCGCTGACGAACAAAGGCAATCAGAAGCAAACACTGGCCCCTAAGGTGTTTTGCAAATGGCTTCGAAATCCACGGAAGACATTGCCGCAGGAGAGCCAAGTTTCACTTTTCACGAGGCTCTGTCCCTAAACCTGCTTCCAGACACTTCAGTTCCTTGTCTTCCCACAGTCCCCTTGCTACTTGAGGTATAGACATTAGATCAGCAGCCTGGGCATCACCTGGGAACCTGTTAGAAATGCAGAAGCTCAGGCCCCATCCCAGGCCTCCTGAGTCAGCACGCGCCTGCGGCTGGAGCGTATGCAAAAAGTTGAAACCGCTCACAGAGACCTTCACCACTGGATGGGTTTGCTTCTCTTAGGACACAGACAAGATGCATAGATGCACAGATATCAAGACGATGATGACGAGCCCTGTGGGTTGTGCAATCTTGTCTTGAAGCAGCAGCATGAGAGGAGAGGGTTCAGTCTTAAGAATAACAGATATAAATTTAGCGCTTGATCTCAGCTCTGGCACGGACCAGCCCCTCCTTTCTTCATTTATGCCTCACGGGTATTAACTCCATGGTGAAGGTTAAGTGGACCCCCGACACAAATCCCTTCAGAACTGAGTTTCCAGTCTATGGATATCATTCAGTGATTTGGTGACTGACTCTTTCTCCTTCCACTTTATTACTTTTCCAGCTTTCTTTCTGTTTTATTACTTCCAAATAAAACATGGGAAGAGAAATAGTGAGCCCCAAATTAGCCTGTATGGTTACTTATTAGTGACTTTGTGGAAATGATTTTCGAAGAGGAAAAAGTGGAAAGAGCTAAAATAATCATTTGGGATTTTGGGTGAACGTCCAGGAGCTATCTTTAACGCTGTTATAGCAAAGATAATCAAGGTGGCAGGATTAATTCTGGGGAAGGAACTAGGAAAACACCCCACTAACAGCACCTGAAAATGAGGGAGGTACAAGCTAAATTCCAACACGCACATCTCTTACTACTATCATGGGAACACTGTCACAGCCGGATGGAGTAATGACAGGTATTTGTGTTGCAGTATTATGACATATTGTGTGTGGTGCTTTGAAGGAGGAGACTTACTGAGCAGTGTTCTATATGGCTCACTTTTCCCCTGGCCCTTTAAGTTATTCCTTGGCGATTGCTGAACTATAATAATCTGAATTTCAGCACAAATTTCTCCGGAGCCGAAACTCACCCAGATATCAACTGCGTAGTCACCAAACTCAAAGTGATCTCTTTTGAGGAAAGTCAGTGACGGAGGGGTCAGGAAGTGGGTTTCGCTGTCAGACACAGTCACAGCCTACCTCCACTCTGCAGAGAGGAAGGCAGGTCTGCACCTGAGGCCCCAGTTTTGCTCAGGCCTGACCAAGACACCCCGCTCCTCCATAGAAAGAAGGGCTCTGCCTACCTCTTAGTGAGGTCAGGGGGAGCTGGGGACAGGGACACGGAGCTGCTTCAGGGGCGTGAGGGGACTTGCAGCAAGGGAGCTCATTTCGGGAGGGTTTTCCAGAGCTTCCCCCACGGTCTTTTCTCCCCTTCCAGACGGCCTTGCTCACCCTGTTTCCCTTCTGAGGTCTCCCGTTCAGCTTTCGGAGGAGCCGGCCCTATTCCAAGGGACCAACAGAACAGAAGTAAATATTTGTTATTCCAGACCCACTTCAAAGCGGCCTATAGATACAATAAAATATAAACAAGTCCGTTATTTACTCCCCATTCCTAAAGCAAGCTCATTGTTTGGTTCCGTAGGCCAGACCATTCCACGAATATTCTCCTTATGTTTCAGACTACCACACTGAACCTATCTGGACTTCCAAATATCCAACAGAAGTTCAAACGGATTACATGTGATGTTCCCCCGCCCCGCCCGCCCCCAAGCCCAATGTCTAGGCCAAGCTTCTGTGAGACACGTAATGGGAATGCCGGGTTACCACAAGAAGGCCTGATGTGCCGGACCTGCACCTTGACGAGACATGAAGACCACAGGCAGGGAGGGGGAGGCGATTCTCGTCTGTTTCAGACTCGGGGCCCACACCAGAAAGGGCGAGAACTTGCAGGAGAACGAGACGCACCCGGCCTAGGGCTGCCCGGCTTGCGTGGACAGGAAGTCTGGAGGGCGGGCAGCTCTGGAGCAGGAACACAGATCTTTCCGTCCCTCCTGGGTTTCTTAATTTTTACAGCCATCATGGAGGCAGAAAAAGTTCTTTTCCCTCTTGTCAAGCATTAAGATACAAGCAGAATAATTAGTATGAGTTATCGCTGCTCTTGTTTTAAGCCATGGAGCCACATCCACAAATATCAAAGTGCTGTACGAGATGAAAACAATCTCAGACATGTAGGAGTGAAATACTGCCAACATCGAGGAGAGAAAATAAAATGTCTTTCATTCTTTCATTCCGTCTCTGGACCAAATTTCCTTGGAGAGGAACTTTTACTGGAATGGCGAAGAAATATGGAAAGTCTGAATATAGTTCATAACTGCCTTTAATTGGTGTCCTTTTTGACCTTCTGAAAAAAAGGGGAAAAAAAAGAATGCAAACATCGAGCGGGCTTTAAGACTAAGCTATTCTGTTAACCCTATCATTGCTCCCAGTCTGCAAGGGGAGGAATCAGGAGAAAAAGCAGTCCCGAGATCAACCTCAAAGTAAAGAAGTGGCTTTTGTCATTCAGTTCTGCAGCACTTTATCCCAGATTTATGTCCCAAACATCTGCCCTAGTGAAGCCAAGAGAGAGACTTTAGAAAAATGAAGGATTTCTGGGAAGCAAAGAAAACCTGCATTCTTAAGAAGTTTCTTACCAGAGCAGAATTTCCTGACATGGGATAAGGATTTCCTATGTCAACCTCATTCTGAAATCGTCACGTAACAAAGACCCACAGGATGTATTTTTTTCAGGAATCATTCTGAAGAATTCACTGCTTCCAAAATGATCTTCAGTGAGGGATCTTGGATACAAGTTAGGTAACTACCCACTTTATGGTAGATACTACAAAGGAGCAATTGCTCTGTTCTTCCCAATATCTCACTTTTCCATCTTGGGTTTTTACTTTCTTTATGCAGAAGTGCCACAGAAATATGCAGTCAGAGGGTTTGTCAACCTCAGCAAAACAGACACTTTAGGGAGACGATTAATTTTTGTTGGGGGGGGGGGTGGTCTGTCCTGGGCATTGTGAGATGTTCAGCAGCATCAGTGACCCCTACCCAAAAGAAGCCTGTGGAGAGGTCCCCTGCCTTCCACGGTGACAACTGAAACTGTATACAGATGTGGCCAAAGTACCTGAGGCCACAGTCGACCCCGGGTGAGAACCCCTGCATTGCTGCTTTGCACCCTTCTGTGGCAAAGTGTCATTCTGTGGGAAAGGGTCTCACGCCTCTTGTGTTTTCATGTAATTCTTTGACTTTGGGCCATTGTGGAGCCTACGTGTGTGAGCGATCTTAAAAGAAAATGCTTTGTTTTGATTGGGGTGAGCCAGCTCCTTAGGAACGCATGTCACCTGCCTCAGATGCAGCGTGCTGCTTGGTGTCCGACGGGTCACACAGCGATGCCACTCTGAGCGGTCCCACTGGTAAGACAAGAGGATACAGAGTGAAACAATGAATCAGAATCATAGGCTAAATGTTCTGACCATGTGAAGGGGCGGCAGAAGCAAAATCCTACAAAATAGTTAATTCAACAAGTATGCGTGAGGTTACGTAAATATTAACTATTAATCATCACTTGGGTGAGTGAAAGCATGCCCTTAACCACTACCAAGAACGGACATGAAAATGGGTTGCATATAATACAGAAGCCATCTCAGGAAATGCCTTCTGTTCCAAGTATACAGATTTTAAAACTCGGTTTCCAAAAGAACACGGCACCCTGTTTTTAAAACAACTTCGGTAAATAGGCATGTGTACCATCTAATTAGAAGACTGTCTGGGCAATGACCTTTCACTAAAAGTCGGAAGACAGGGTTAAAGTGCCTGGGAGGATCCATTTTCCTGGGCTCACATGTCTTCTGAGAAACGGTGAAATCAGGCAGTAAAAGTGAGGATGGGGTGACGCAGAGGTTGGCTTAACAAAAACAACAGAAGCAGTATAGCCGGTCCATTCAACTGTGCCTGGGCATTCGCTGGGCCCAGAACAGGGCTCACTGTGATGTTTAATATATGATCCAACAAGTAGGGCAGGAGTTGGGAACAGGACACCAACCTTACATCTCGATGTTTATTAAGCTGTATCACATGACAGTCGCCTCCCTAAACGGTGTGCGTGGTGTGTCATGGGATACCGTGATGTGTAAAAGGAGGGAAGGGAGGCAGATTCTATCACTCCCGACAACAAAGGCTTCTTTCTTAAGCCCTTTGAAAGGGTCTTTGGACACAGTTTCCTCGTGTAACAATCACTAAATCCTCTCCTCTCGGAATTGTGATCCGCCCTTGCTCCTGGCTACCCTTTGAGTGACTTCTCTCCTTTCACTCGTGGTAGGTGACCTATTTTACAGGACTTTCACCACACGTTGCCCCAGTTACCTCCAAAAGGCACTCTAACGAGGGCAAGGCCATCTCTGGGGAATCGAAACGCTCCTGCCACCCAGCAGGACGCTTTGTGCAGCAGTGTGCCCGCTGAGCAACAGCTGTCTTCTTCTCTGGATTGAACCTGTGCTTAAATAAATCCTTTCATTAAAAAAAAAAATAAAGTGTGAAAAGGAAAGAAAAGGGTCTCAACTCGCAGGCCTTGATTTTGGGGTAGAGTTTGATAGCTTCTTCAAGGTCGGCCACTGGCCCCAAACCTAGGGAAGTAGTGTGTAGAAACTTACCAAGGTTTGTTCTGACTTCCTGCCAGAAGAACCCGGGCCACACATGCGGTGTCCAGGGGCCAGCATGACAGGCAAAACCATCTATGACCTGTCCTTTGTTTATAAAGTCTGACCAACTTTTCCTATTCAGACCAACTAGCATAGCTTCCCAGGAGAAGAATTGGAAACATTTCTTGGACAGTGTTTCTTCTGATGGGTCGTTGTTAGAGTTGTTTAGCTATCCAATCAAACCTTGAAATCAAAGTACCAATCAGTCTGCTGTTGACTGGGAACATAATTTTAAAAACTTAACGAGAAGACCTTTGGTTCATTTACGTAATAATGGCAGCAGCACCAAATCGGTCTCCATCACAATCTTCTCCGTTTTTTAACATTTTCTCTTTCAACTAAATAGGTTATACTAGGATTCCCCCCCCTTTTTTTTATTGTTCAAGTACAGGTTTCTCCATTTTCCCCCCACCACTCTCTTCTAGCCCACCCACCCTACCTCCCACCCTCCACCCTACCCCCTTTGGCTTTGTCCACCGGTCCCTTAGACGTGTTCCTTGGCGACCCTTCCCCACAATCTCATTGTTTCCCACTGTAGCACAAGGCTGCTTAAAGGAACTAACGATCCTCCCGTTGGCTGCTGTCTCGCCTGTGTTTGTCGTAGATCAAAGAGGGAGCAAGGTGAGAACTCACAGTGAGACAAATCCATCATTTCTCTTGAATAAAGCAACCCAAGTGTAGTCCTGTGGCTAGAGAAGTAGTCCATAAGATTTATACTCCCTCAAAATACCGTCTTAAAGCAAGGGAATTTGTTGTTGATACACCAATGAACTTTCTTCTTATTCCAATTGAATCCGTCAACCTGGATGTATTGATTTCTGTCTCCCTGCCTCAGCATGCTCTTTCTTTATTTCTTGATGTAATCCCCCTTGAAATTTGTAGTAAAAATGGAATTCATCTTGTTCCTTCCCTGGATCCACTGGCCTTGGAATTGAACGCGGCTTGAACACACACGTCCCAGAGAGCCCGAGTCTGAACTTCTGTTTCTGGGCTGCGAACTGTATCAGTCACAGCCTACGCTAATAAATGATTTAGGGTGTGTGGAATCTTTCCCTTTTCTCTTTAAACTAATCTCAGAACAATACTCAATCGCAAGGTCATTGTCAACAGCTTGCTCAATTTGTCCTTTTAGAGGACCATCGCTTCCAAGCTGGGCCAGCTGCAGCCTCTTCGCTTTCATGTGCTGCCCATGAATCAGCCTTGGAATTCGGTCTGGCCTCGCGTTGCAGCTGACTTTATAATTCAAATATAATCGCCGATGCGCGTTCAGAAACCTCCAGGAAACTGTAAGTGCTTGTTCTACTTTGTAACAGCAACGGCATTTTCTAGTTGAAGGGCGTGAGCAGGACTACTAGAAAAACGCGCATTCGTCATCTTCTCGAGTCCAGGCCTCCCTTAGCAGGTTGAGTCTGGAGATGAAGGTTCAGAGAGTGTTTTGTCTATTTATTTGGAACACTGCACGGTGCCAAAAGTGAGTTTGTGACCTAATAGGTGAGAACAGGGGCCAGGAGTGTGTTTGGGTAAATCTCTGAGTTACTGTGGAGTCATAAAGAGCCTTCCCTGTCCTTTCTTCTTGCATCCCTTTGTCCCAGAGCTGTAAGATGTGACAGCATGTCCCAGCTGTCACTGGGCTCTGGTATGAAGGGGAGGCTGCAAAACCATAGCCTCCAGCTCCTGGGAGTTCATATCATGGCTTCTGGAATCACCCTCTCTGTTCAGAAACTGGCATCCAGAGATGGGCT